TCCTTCAAAGAAGAGCTGTGCCATTCTTAAGAAAATACACAGCCTTATGTGGCTCTTAATAAGGGGGGGGGGGAAGCCAATTTTAAAACGTCAAGTTTCAGTATTTTGTGAATCAGAAATGCTTGTGCAGTTGTGTGTTGTTTTTTTCCTTAGGCGTGGGCACAAGTGCCCAAGACACCTGTGCGCCTCCTCACAACAACCGGTATGTTCAAATCCAAGATAAGGACAGGAATTGGAGAGAAGAAAGACTGAAGCAAGCAAGATAAATATGTAGAAGCCAGAGTGCATCAGGATCCACCCACTGATAAAGAATGGAATATGACAAGCTATAAAACATGGATCAGGGGAAAAAATTGTGTGGACACTACATTAGCATTCTGGAAGCAAGAAGAAATGGAGTGTCAGAGACATAATGTGAAAGACGGCTCACATCTGGAGGAAGCCTTGGTTGCAAAGTCATTGCATTGACCAGCCAGATTATGACAAGAAACAGGACTGAAAAACTGCAGGTCTTTTAGTAAAGTTGGTGTTGGCGACATGTCTCCCTCTTTCCTTCATCCCCTTCTCTCCCTCAGTGTCTGTAAAATTTACAGCCCAGTTTTGGAACATTCCACATTGGGAAAAGTTGCACAAAACAACAATAAAATACAATATCGGTATCAACAACTGGCAAGTAATTGTTATTTACACAAACAGAATTGTTGTTGCATGATGGTCCTGATCCAGTGAGGCTATTTTCCTGCCTGCTGGTCCCCATTTTGGATTGAATCTGACAAGGGGCAGAAGAGAGCTGCTTGATATCAAAGTCTGTTTAGGACTTGTGGCTACAGATGCAGCACCTCCCCCCCCCCGACCCCCGTCAGGGCTGGTTATGCAGATTGGACTCTTCTGCTTCTCTTCCTCCCAACAATCCTAGCCTACATGTTTTGCCGGCCACTCTCAAGGCAAGGCTTTTCACAGCGTGAGCGGGAGAGAGCGCGAGAGAGCACTGGAAAGGGCCACCTGGAGATTTGAATGGCTTTTCCGTGAGAGACTTCTTGCCAAGCCCCCAACCAAGGCCCAGGTGAGCCTGCTGGGAGGCTTCTCTTTGTAGCATATCCTGGCAGCAGAGTTCCCAACAGGTGAGGCGAGGGGCTGGCCACTCTGTCTGCTAACTCTGTGGCCTTCAAATCAGAGCTAAGGAAGGAATTAGTCTTTCTCCAGCATGGGAGAAAAGAAAAACAAAAATTAAAAGACTGGATTAGTCACAGATGGTCTCTTTATACTCATCTTCTTACATTGCCATTCCTTCCAGTGCTGCCATCCAAAAACAGGCTGTTCCCAAGGAGCAAATCATGCACCAACCTTCGACTTACCCACCTAGCTAAGGAGACGAGATGCAACACAGATGCACACACAAGATCCCCCCGCCCCACGTGCTCCAAGGTTTCTATTTTTACCCTATTCTGCCCCCAAGGAATCAGAAAGTACTGTCTTCAGGACACATACAACCGAACCACATTTCATTCTGGGTCATATGTGCCAGATGGAACCATTAACTTGTGTTGTCAGGTCTATCATGTGGCTTGGCAAACATTGTCACAAGAAGGGTGTGCCCAGTGAAATAAACAACACTAATCTAGAGAAGGATTCATTCCATGTTTTGGATCGTTATGGAAAGGGCACTGGATTTCCTCACAGGCTTTCTGGCCTGATTTGCAAATTAAAAGAGTGCTAAACCCTCTCAATCATCTTGTTATGCACTGTCAAGTCTTTTCCAACTTATGGTGCCTCTACGAATGCCTGAGCTGCTCCAGAAGGCCTTATCATCGGCTGCCTACTCAGACCTGTGGGTTCCTTTATGGTCTCGATCCCTCTCATGTTCTGTCTTCCTATTTTCCTGCTGCCTTCCACTTTTCTCAGCAGTAATGTCTGTTCTGGTTACTAGGAAACCTACCAAAGAGCTCATCACAGCCTTTGTTGCCAATTTTGTCGATACTTCTATTTTTACCCTATTTTTCTTCTCTCCTAGTGTTTGTCCCATCTTGTCTAATGTTTTCCCCTTATTTAAAATTGTTTTAATTATATTGTTATATGTCTGTTGTAAGCCGCCTAGAGTGGTCCTGAGGGACTAGATAGGCGGGATATAAATAAAATTAATAAAATAAATAATAAATAAAATACAAGGTCATCTTTGCTACTCTCTGACAAAGAGTGAGAGAGTTTATATTTCGAACAAAATATAATCATATTTTGGGCAGAAGGGCTCCATGTATAAACACATTTATCCATGCTACCTACCACAGTCATAAAAATTATGGGTGTCAGTAGATACTAGAAGCTCGCCCTTCTTTTCTGTGGCTTTAGGTTGGTAAGTCAGGTGACAATAATACAGCTGGTGTTCTTGGCTCTTTCCTCCAGTTTGGAATTGTGGCCTTTACACACAGCTTGTAGGTTGTATTACTCCATTGTTTCATGTTCAGAACAGTCTAGAATGATGCACCAGAAAAGATCCTCTTTTCCCGTATACTTAGCACAGTAGAGGTAAAGATGTCAAAATGTTGGTTTTGCGCTTAGAGTCATTGTTGGTAACTTTTAAAAACCCTTCAGCACTCAAGAAGCCATAAATAGCACCGATATTTTATAAAACTCATTTTGCTTTGATTATCTGGCCTTCGCTGAGTGTAATACTCCTGGTGGTGATGCGGGTGTGGGTGATTGTGGCTACAGTGATGATAACATTGATTTACTTGCATTTATCAGTGGTATCAGACAAGGTTCTCTTTCATCAGCAAGATTCTTACTGTCTCAATTTGAGGGAAATAAGCTACAGATTGCGTTGTAGGAATTTTGCTTAACGTTGGCATTTCAAAAGCATTTTAGGAGACTGAAACATTTCCCAAGTTTTAGACTGTATTCTTTTTCTTAAAAAAAAACCACACATATTTAAACAAAAGGTGTTGAAATATGTATTCTTTTGGATGCTCATTCTTGGAGACTTGCCTTGGCTTCATCAGACTTGCCTTTGGGTGTTAATTCCAAATACAGGGCCAGAAATTTTGATTTCCACTTGCAAAAACCTGTTTTGTTTGTATAGGAAAGAACCTGCTGGAGCCATCAAATTTCCTTCGCTCCATCTGGTTTACAGAATATGTGCAAAGAGTACTTGAATGGAGGTGATTTGGTATCCTGTGCCTGCAGATTCCTGATGTCCAAAAATGTTGGCTTCTTTCCCAGAAGCTTGGAAGAACAGATTGATTAGAGATATGGGCCCACTTGGTTTGGCCCCCCCTCACTCACAATTCCTGAATTCATATGATCACATTAGAGTTCAGTTTACCATTTTGAAGGTATAGCTTCCTGTAGGGTTTGAAAATATGTCACCTAACAGTATGCGATGCAGTTACAGTTACCTAAAACTGTTAGTATTCCGAGGGTCAAATGGGGTGTCAGCCCATAATTGGAAATGGAAGTCCCTTGAGAGGTTAAATTCATTCATTTACCCTGGTGTAAAGGTTCCAGTGTTTCCCTCTTGTGGAAGATGACGGAAGACCATCAGATATTGCAAACTTAATGTACTGTATATACATAAATGTTGCTGGAAATGTTGGCTGAAGTGTCTGGGCAGCTGTAGTCTGATTCTAAGATCTGCCTCTTCCATTTCGTATTCGGCCTGAGAAAAGGTTCTTTGAATCTAGAAAACTAGCTTCATTGTACTGAAGAGAGACTTTCTGACTTTTCATTAGCTGTCATGGGCTTCCCATGGAGAATATAGGCCCAGGCTAGGTGCAAGCCTCCAGACACACACACACACAGAGAGAGAGAGAGAGAGAGAGAGAGAGAGAGAGAGAGAGAGCAAGATTCCAAGAGATGGTTCCCCGTGAAGAGGAGGCTTTCATAGTCATGGAGGGCCTCCATGACAGAAAGTTCTGATCACATGGAGACCCAAGCCTTTACAGCCCACCCCTGAGCCTTCAGCACCATTTCCAGCAGTATCACCATATACTGTAAGCTCTTGTTTTCACTTATACCCAGCGCCAGGAAACAAACCGTTCAACTCAGCGAGAACTTGTACCTGCCAAACCCTGCTGGAGTCTTTGTTGCCTTGACTGGCCTGGGCTGTTTATCCTTTTGCTCTGTGTTTCTCCCATTGGACTGTCCTTATCTTGACTGACATTACTGTGGACTGTTAACCTTGTCCTGAGTACTTCCTGTTAGAAGTGATGCTACTTACTGGTAGGACTGAACTGCCCCTGTCTTCAGGGTCTTTGTGAGTGGTTCTTCGATGCAGAAGCACTCTTCATGTCCCAGTGAGGGAAGCAGGACACTGTGTTGGAGTGTCTTGCATCACACGCCTGTGTATATAGCAGGGACTTAGTGTGAAACTGGGCTGTGGTTTAAAAGGGAGTCTGAAAGTCTCTCTTCAGCATATTTCTAAAAGTCTTTGTTTTCTCCACATGCAGAGACAATGAATAAAATACTATGGGCTAGTCTCAACATTCAGGCCTTGTTGGAGGTTTTGCATAGCTTGATATCAAATCATATTTTCCATACAATTTGCAAGGAATTTGCAGGGGGGGGGAAATGTGGTGTGAATTAATGGGTTTTGTTTTTCAGCTTCAAGAAGGCAAAACACAGCTGGAATGGCTTCTTTAGAATGTTCTTTCTCTGGTTTAACTGGTATAATTGTAAAGCAGCAATTAACAGAAGACGTCAAATACGACAGTCCCCACCATTCTCTCTGTGTAGTTGACGGCTCCCAAATGGGTATTTTGACATTGTGTTACGCTCCCTCATTCCCTAAGCGTTATGAAATTGAGAGAAGACTTTGCCAGTTCACTCTAGAGTGCTGGAGATATATGATATTCACAGATCAGGGATCTAAATCTTCACTTATTTTTTTTTCCTTACAGATGAGAATTTTAAAAATCCAACCTCTTTTCTCCCTACTCGGCAAGATTACATGAGTTTTCTTACATTCCTCACTTTGGGGATTTTTCTGCACACCATTTGTAGTCACGTCTGGGGAAAAAAAGACTTGATTTTTTTTTGTTTTTTGCAAGAAGAATAATTTACGGAACGAAACCAAAAATGACTGTCCTTTCACTTTCATGCCTAGAATCTTACAGCGCCCAGCAGTTTTCTGCAGCAGGATATCTCAAGACACCCTTTTTGTCAAGGATGAGAAAATTGTGAGTGTTCCTTACATTGCTCTGGCCAACTGAGTTGGTGTTATGGTGGTTGTGTGTTTGTGTGCAGAAGGAAGTGCATGGGTGGTACTAGACTCAGCACATCATCACTCCCTTTTTCTTCAAATCTTACGAACACTATGCAAGCTGGTACTGTGGTCATTGTCTATATAAATGCTATACTCAGACAATAGAGCTTGGAGACATTTGTAATGCAAAAAAGAATCTTTCCAAGTTTAGCTGAGGTGGGGGAAATCAGTAATAGCCCTTTATGGAAGCATATGGCTTGCATTCTAGTTCTTTGGAAGAGGTGAAGTATGTGTTTGGTGGATTTTGTACCACTGCTTTAGTACTGGTCATGCTGGGGAGGGGAAGTGGAAGTTCTAGGCCAAACTGATCTGCAGCATCAAACGCTTCCCATCTTTGACTTTGAACATGTTCATACAAAAACCAGGGACAGATGTCTTTCTCTGCTTTGTTTTGCACAGAGCAGCATTATATGCAGGAATGTCCTTATGCTGGCTGTTTTCTTCCCTTCCCCTCACCTTCTGAAAGGCCAGCCTTCAGAATCTGGCTGAGGCCATGTGCAGTCATGTCGCCTGTGAATCCAGACCATGAACTGAATTCTAGCATCTGGGGAAAGTTGAAAACATTGAGAGAAGAAAACATTAGTCTGTTTGCGTGGGAACCCAGTTACTCACCCCACAAAGATTATCCTTTGGTGATTCTATCTGAACTGGCCAATTTAGAAACCTTGCACTTCCTAGTAATGGCAGAATTCCTGTTCCATTTTGGCCAGTTCTTTTGAAATAACAATCTTGCATGCTTGGTAACACTGGGATTTAGTGAAACTTGATTGTTTCTAGGACCTAAGGCAGTGGTCAGGGAACAGGGGTAAATTACCCCAAATGGGATAAAAATGAAAATCCTGGGGGTAATGAGGATGGTTGTGGCAGCGCGACCGTCCTCATTACATCCAGGCATTTTATTTCCGATGATACTGTGTGTAGGCGGGCATTCCATCGCGAGGAGAGCGAGTCCCGGCGAGGAACTGCACAGGGCACCCGCCTGCCCTCCTCGCCTCCAAAGTGTGTGTGTGGGGGGGTTGGACTGGGCCAGCTGGACTCTTTGCCTGGTGGAGCCCTGGCTGGGGCTCCCCTTCCTGCCTGCAGCCGTTGCACTGGCGAGGAGGCCCGCTTCCCACCTCGCCTCACCTGAGCTCATGGCTGGTGGACCTGCCGGCCCTGCGGTGCCCAGCTCCCCTCGCCAAGGACGCAATTTCCCAGTGGTGTGGCGGCTCCAGAGTGGCTGCTCAGGTGGCGGCTGCAGGTCCTGGGCAAGCGCAGAGGCGGGGAAGGGGGTCGGCTGCGGACGGCGAGAGCAGAGGGGCGGTGCTGGGAGGGGGTGGGGTAATGTTGGTGTATATAAATTTTTTTGGGGGGGGGTAAAAGATAAAAAAGTTCCCTGACCCCTGACCTAAGGTTTTTCCCCCACTTCCAGCATTTGAGGCAAGCACCTGTGCTTCTACCTTCTCTCTTCCTATTTGTCTTGCTTGCTTTTGTTTGCTTTTTCTTCCTCTGTCTCTTTTCAGATGTGCACTCATGGAGGCAGTTTATCCTGTTTGTGGACCCTGCAGCCTTTCTTTTATTCTTCTGTTTGTAACTACTGATTGCAGCTGTAAGTAAAGATACCTATTTCTTTTTCTGCTTAAAATGCTTCCAGAGTGATATTTAACATATAAGTGCTAGTGACTGTGAAGGGGGGGCAGCTCTGAGACGTAAGTGATTCCCGTACAATTTCTCTGTGCAGCTGTTGTTGGTACTTTAAACTCTGCTAACCAAAAAGTATTTACCAGTTTCCCACAATTTCTATGCCTGATGCTGCAGCCCCAATCCAACTTGCCCCCAGAGCTTCTATTAGGCGTAGAGGGGAAAACCTAGAAACTCAAAAGGCCCCCTGCATGTTTTTAACCTGTGTTGCTAATAGCAGCTGAGCAGGAGGGTGGTCACGGTGTCGGCAATGTATTTGGACCCTTCCTCCAACCCAAAATGGGGGAAATGATTATAACTTGCCTTCTTCAGGCTATGGCCCCAGCTCAAATCGGAGTCCTGGAAGTGGCTTTTAGAACATGGAAGTTTCGTTGGGGCTGTGCTTCTTTCACACAGTCTCTAGTTCAGAGCTTGGAGAAATTCCTCTTTTTTGGATTATGGTTCTCAAAATCTTCCTGGTGATATAGTGGCCAATGGCTGAAAAATTCTGGAAGGCATAGTTCCCCCTCCTGCCCCCAAATTAGACTATTAGATACATTCATCTCAAGCCTCTGAGGAATAGAGGAGCAAACGTTTGTTCAAACTTATTTCTAATAGGGGATGGTCCCAGAATCGTATTTTGTAGCAGCCAGTCACAGATGAGTTCATCTCTGGGCCTTTTCATGCATGATCTGCCTTTGTTACATGGGTGGTGGATATGATATCCGACGATAAAAGAAGAATTGTACACCAGGTAGTAAAAACATGTATGTGTTTCCTGTCCATTTAACATTTTACGGTGTATACAATTGGGACTTTAATCCCTCCTTACACATGGAGAAATGGGTTATAATTCCCAAATAAGTAAACTGGACACAATATGAGAGTTGACCGCTTTGCCCTGCTGTTATACCAGAGTGGAAAAACTGAAATGAAATGGACCTTTGAGGGCTTAATGCTTTAAAATAGGACAATCCTCTCAATTTCTGTCCACAGAGCTGAATACGTTCCCTTGGAGAGCTGATACAACTCAGGAATATTTCTGAATAAGCACATTGTCTCTATTGTCCTCTTTTCAATAACCTTCTGTAGAAATGGCTTCCTCAACTGGGTGCCAGTCAGATATTTGGCACTACAGGTTCCATCATTCCCAGCCTGTGTGGATAGTGGCCACGTTGACTGGATGTGATGGGAGTTAGAGTCTAACCCATTTGGAGGACATCGAGTTGGAGAAATGAAAGAAGGAAAGGGTGTCTCAAATGCCTACTCCTTTTTATTCTAGTTGTGTGCCATGTATTAAAATAAACTTTCAGTGTGTCATGTATTAAAACTTTCAGTGCGTCATGTATTACCAAAAAAAGCAAACATCAACAAAGAAAGAGGAAAGAACTTCTGAAGACGTACATCAAGAACCGGAAGCCGAAGCACAAATACAGACTCTCTCTAGCTGAAATTGTGTTACACTAAAGGTGTGTTTTAGAGGCAGATTACCTTACATTAAGACGTTTCCATAGGCTGTGTGTGTGTGTTGTGTGCCTAGTTGTATGCCCGGGCTAGGGAGATTTCTTAACTTACAGCATTTTGTGTCTAAAAGTGATGCCTTTTGAGTAACTCTGTGAGTTTTGAGCTCCATCTTAGCTTCTCCTGAACAAATTGGAAATATTTTTTTAAAAAATGTTTACATTACTTATTTATCTGGAGAATTAATACACAAACATTTTGGAGATGACTGGGCATTAGGAAGTATGAATGAAGGAATGGGGGAAGGGAGCGATGATGGATGAGTCCTCACACTTGTGCAACGGATGGAACAAGACTGAAGTGACGCCTGAAATGGCGAAGTGGTGTTTTGCGTTTTGAAGTACAGTCAGCTCTCTTCCTTGTCCATGAAGAAGAAAACAAAGATCATCGTGGGTGGGTAGGACAGATGTCCATGTGAATAAGACAGATACTTTCTAAGATGATACGGCGTCTAAATATCAAGTTGTTTTCTGTATAATTTCAAGCCCACTTAAATGCTCTGAAGTTCATTTGTGAGTAAAAAATCCTCTGTGCCACTCAAAAGATGGGATGATGAAAGACATATAGTTTTAGTTGGCATTCAGAGAATTCATCACCAGTTCAGAGTCCTGCAGGTTATGAGGTGGTCCTATAAATCACCTGGAATTTTCTGGCCTCTTCCATTTAGACTTGATCCTGGGCTAAACGTAGTGGCTGAAAAATCAGGAGACAATCTTGCTTACCCTCTCTTTTCTCCCTACTATGCTTGGTCAACAGCTTGCTTTTTCTGGGTCACTGAAAGTTCAGGGCAAAAACATGTGGTCTGTTGGGCTGCCAAAGCCAATATCCTCTCACCCAGTAATTTCACACTCATGTACCATACAGTGCACCTGACATTCAGAGGCCAAGAAGGTATGGGTGGCACCCACTTACGGGTGAAATTTTCTAGTCCTGGGATGCAGAAATGTTGCAGCTTTAAGTGCTCAACGTTATAGGATAAGCCTATCAACCTTGTCTCAAAACATGAAAAGTTAGCTAGTCAGACTAACGGTCTGGCTGGTAATTAGTTCATTCTGAGTGTGGCATATCCAAGCACCTCTTCAGGTGTTTCTTCCATTCACATCTCCAAACAAAAAGACCTCTCTTCTCTGTCCAGAAAGTTGAGGTCTGTAGCCTTGTGGTTACGTATGGCCATTCATCACAGATTTTATGTTACTTTGAGAGCAAGCGATAAGCAACAGAGAGTGGGAGTCCTGTTTTCTCTGGGAGGAGGCAGTTGTTCCCATAGAAAGAATGTGTAGTCTTTGCTGAACACCCAATAGTTTCTGAGATCACTGAAGTACACATTTAATATAGAGATAGGGAAAAATATTTCAGTTTTTATTTTACAAGGCTTTCCCAAAATCCACAGATTTCTTCATATTTGGAATTGAAACAAGTCAAATGTGGGAGAAGCTGAAATGGAGAGATTCATGTGTCCAAGTCAAGGGCTTTGAAGGCTAGGTTCATGCATTAAAACCTGGGTTCAAATCTCTTGTGTATTCAGCCATCTTAGTGCTAAATTAGGATTGTTGCTCCTTTTTTGTGAGTGGATCCTCATCTTTTACACATGCAGGGCAGGTAAACTTTGGCTCCAGCTGCAGCAACCTTTAAATCTGTCTTTTGTCTGAGCAACGAGAAATTAAACCTTCCCCCTCCCGCCCAATACAGGTCGGGGAGCTCAGAGTAGTATGTCGCCGACAGCTTCTCTGTTGTTGACAGCTTTTCTGCACAAGTTCAGAGGAACACAGGTGGTAGCTTCTTGGAGCTATGAGTTGGATTACTCGGGGTAGTGGGAGACCACAGAAATGACGGTGGCCTGTGGCGAGCAAAAGAGGACAACGGTCAATGCATAGATGGTTTGTGTGATGGAGGGAGGCACTACTTAGTATATTTAGAAGTGTTATCTCTATATTAGAATAACACTCTTCTGAAGCTCAGTGTTTTCTTGTCAGTATCGGCCCTAACCAGTTCAATTACTATAATGCAGACATCCAAAGGACTGATAGATCTGTTGCTATCTTTCCAGTGAGCACCAGGACATGAGATTTCTTGCACTAGATGAACGGAGGATGGAACGAAGGTAGCTCAGCCTTCCTGGTGCCGCTGGAGGAGCGGGATGGCCACTTCTTCAGTTATGATGAAGGGAGGTTCGGTCCATGATCCCCCCCCCACAAGTCACACTTATTAGTGTTTAAGGTACCACCTTAAGACTCCTCATAATTTTTGCAGCGATAGACTAACTTCACCACCCCCTTGAAATTTCTGTGGGCAATCTCAACATTTGTTGGTTGCATAGCCAGTGGAGTTATAATAAAAAAAAATACTTTTCCAAGCTTGGATGACAGCACATGCTAAGTGAGCCTGTCTTATCTGGACCTTCTATGTACTGAATAATAATTGGTACTCTTTCCGTACCAATTTTCTTGCCTTCAACAGTTCAGAGAAGTCATGTTTCTGCCTTTTGCATTCTACTACTGTTTGTTTGTTTGTTTGTTCTTGCCCATCAGTACCTATTTAGCACTAACAGTATGCTAGGTGCTGCGTAGTCCTTGGAAGCAACATGATCTCTGGCCAAAGGTTTGCAGCGTCTTAATTCTTTAGTGAATGCAGTCATGCCACCTCTTGTAGCTATTCTTATTTTAATGCCTTGTGAAGTTTGTTGCAGTAAAACAGCAGAACTTCATGCCAAATAAAATCTGTTAGCCTTTAAGGATTTAGCACTAACAGTATGCTAGGTGCTGCGTAGTCCTTGGAAGCAACATGATCTCTGGCCAAAGGTTTGCAGCGTCTTAATTCTTTAGTGAATGCAGTCATGCCACCTCTTGTAGCTATTCTTATTTTAATGCCTTGTGAAGTTTGTTGCAGTAAAACAGCAGAACTTCATGCCAAATAAAATCTGTTAGCCTTTAAGGTGCCACAAAACCATTATATATATATATATATTTATATATATAAGTAGGTGGATGGATATACGCACACATGTTTGTAAAGGATAATATGGGGAAAAATCTAAAGGTGGACTGGATTTGAGCTCATTGACGTTTGTGGTGTGTATTGACGTCTAACTCCAATCAAAACAAAAAGTAATTGGAGTCAGACACATGACCTGGAATCACACACATGCACACACAGCAAAAGCAAGTGAGCAACAGCAAGGGAGAGAGAGAGAGAATATAAAACATAGTTAACAAACTTTTCTCTTGTTACTGCTGTTGTTTGTGTTTTGGGGATGAAAAAGGGAAATCACAATGCATTTTATTCATGTACAGTATTAGAAGAAGAATTTATTCCAGTTCCCAGAGGGGGAACTCTGGTGGTGCAGGTGTCAATGAGAGACATTTTCCTCTTTTGTCATGAGACTCATGAAGGGGAATTCAGCAGAGCCCTGTACTTCCTCAAACTGTGTTAAGTACAGCCCAAAAGACAGGAGTGGGGGAGGTTTTCTTTCTGTACTGAGCCATCCTTATGTCAAGTTTATTTGTCTTTTCTCCAGTATATTTCAAACACTTTTATACAAGCAGTTGTAATTCTGAACTCCGGGAGCATCTGTTGATTTACACTTGTTGAGAAGCGGTGTGTTTTGTTAGTTCAGTGAATACACAAAGAGGAGCCAACGTGACAGAAAGATCTAAAGCAGGAACCTGGCGCACGTTAATCAAGGGGACAGGCTGGACAATTTCAATAAACAAAGTGATTTGTCAATAACTATGCAGAGTTTGTTGACCCATTCATTGAAGCAGCAAACCTATTCTTTTTGGTTTTGTGAATAGAAGGCAAAAGGGATACGAATCCTACTATGGCATTTAACTGTAAACAAGCTCTCTCCCCCCCCACCCTCAACACTTCAGAATATAAGGAGACCTATATGGAATTATACCAAAGGCCTACCGAATCCTACATTCTCTTCCCACACCAGCCGACAGAAAGCCTATGGAAAGTTCAAAGCCAGGACACGACCACAGTATTACTCTTTCACTTGTGTCCCCCCAACAACCGGCATACAGAGACACATTGCTTGGACAGTGCCATAGGAGCATCAGACCAGCGGTCCATCCTGCCCAGTATTGGAACAGCTTACAAAGTGCTATCCTGTTCAACACTGATGCCCTACAGGGCACATGCTAAAGTATGTAGTCTACCTATATAATAGTTTGTCTTTAAAGTGCCACACATTTTTGTCTTGTTTGGTTTCTTTGGATTTTGCCTGATATATCTAAAAGTCTATCTAAAGGAGGATCTCTAAGAAACCTGGGGACTAGTTTAAGTATTCTGCACCAGTTTATTAAAATTATCCTGTGTAGCACTGACTTAGTTAGTGCTCCATTTTCTTGGAATGTGTACTGAGCGTATTGCTGACACTGACTAGGAGCGATTCTCCTCAGTTCTCGGGCAGGAATTTTTTTCTGTCCATACCTAGAGACACCAGCAACAGAGCTTGGGACATTCTGTGTGCAAAGTAGATGTTGGGCCACTGGACTACAGCACTTCCACAAGGATCACAGTCCAGATGGCTACATGATGAGTGGCTATTGACAGTCCTGTCAAGACATGGGGACAAATATAAAAACGAATCAGGATATTCATTAAATATCCTTGATTTGTCAGATATTTGTTGGTTCGTACTCTTGGGGTCCAGAGACCCCAATGAATATGAAGCATCAAATATAACCCTTTAATATTTGTCCCTTGTTTCCCTATCTGCTCATGCCCCTGTGGATCAGCTGTTCCCCGGGGCTGGGGAATGGCTTGGTTTCCCTTTCCTCCTCTTCCTATGCCTGCATGGCAGAAGAGGAGGGAAGGGATCAAAGAGGGATCAAAGGGATTCCCCCACTGTGGAATTGCAATGTTTCCCCCTTCTGGAATTGCAATGTC